ATTGATGAATGCCATTCCGGTGTTGGTTGGGGTGAAATATTGCCGAAAAGCGCCAAGACTTCATCTTTTTCCCCACACCGCCAAAGGTGTCAAAATGTGTGAACGTGTCGTGAATACTGCAATTTTACACAGCGCCAAAAGACACAAATTACATGTCATGTCTCCGCAGAGAGACACTTTTCCAATATATCCGGTGACCACGGAGCTTTCCTGTGGAGCTTTTGTGCAAATTAAAAAATTCCTTTCAGCCACCACAACGCTGCCCAGAGCGATGAATATTCGAGTGCTAATGCGAAAATTGTGATTTCACCCCCCGGGAAAAGTGTGGGGAAGAACACGGAGTGAATAGATGAGAGGGCAATAAAGTTGCCTAAAGAGCTTATTACTTGTTTTCAATTTTTATACAGATATTTCACAATCCCGCCCCCTCTTCAGGTACAATCGGCCACCCTTTTTGTGACTACAACACAATTTTCCAGACACCTTTTTTCGCCACTTTCTTCCTCATACTTCACGGGGGCAAAAAAAACCCTTGATGGCAAAGCATGTTTGCGACGCAAAGGAAGTGAATTTATGTAGAGTTCGGATCAATCCATTTTTCCCCAGCCATTCGATGTGTCCTCAGTGATTTTGTGAGCAGAAGAAAAGCAGGGGAAAAACTTCATCATTGACCAATTTCATGGCTTCTGGCAACTCAATATCTCATGTTCAATTTGCCATCAATCATTAAATTTCATTTACTCCCTCATTGAAATTCACCTATTTTGTACGACGCTTATCCAAGAGTCTTTACAACTTTCACCACAACCACTCAATAAGATTTTTCATCCTTTTCCACCTACATTCGGGCCATCGTGGCCCCAACACGTGGATCAGGTGGGGTTAACACACGTCTGAGTTGATGCAAAAGTGGCATTTTCTTGATAAATAATTGAGATGAAATTTCTAAACTTCCAAACCACCATCAAATCATGAGATTTCATAACAAATTGAGTTAAATTTCATATAAATGTCGTGTAAAAATTAATAAATATTTGAGTTGAAAATCGATGGATAAATAGAAAATTTGTATTTTATATTATAAACATATTAATTCTTGATTTTCAGAATTTTGCTAAGATATTTTAAGATTTATAATGAATTTTCATAAATATTTATCATATTTTTCAATTTTTCACTCAAAAACTTTAAACAAAAATTAATGTAAAGTATGAAAAGTTGATTTTTTCGATCTTATTTGAATAAAATGCACTCGAAAACTACTTAAAGTCGACTTTGAAAAATAATATTTTCAGTTTTTCAATTAAATTTGCCATATTTTAGTAAAAAATTTCAATAAATATTGATAAAATCAATTTAGCAATCTTAGCATTTCAGTTGTAAGGTGAAAAAAGGACGATGCAATGAAACATTTTGATAAATCTTGATTGAATCTATAAAAATCAGCCATTTTTGCAACTCTGTTGCAGCGTCACGCGAGTCTTTGGCGTTCAATATCACTTTTCGCGCGCGCGGAAAACGATGGAGGAAAAAAGCCAAGAGGGAAATTTATTCAAAGGATTCGAACCCCCAAACGACTAACCCTCGACGCTGGCACAAAAATTCATACATGTATGAAAAGGGTAAAGCGTGGTTGATAATAATTTAACAGCTCCGGTAATATATTCATATTTTATTGCGGTGTCACGTTTTTTCTTCTCTCCCTTCCGACATACTCTCCACGCAAAGGTGGCAGGAAGTCGCAGGAGTGGCCCAGAAGAAGACGATAAAAAGATTATATTGTTCCACGGCGAGATACCCAGGGAAAATCTCTTGTGTGGGATTTCGCCATTCTGCTCGATATTCGATGTTTTCTCCGCCTTTTTTTTCTTCTTCTCCACAACGCCATCAGCGCGTCTCCTCAAGAGAAAGAGAGAGAAAGACGTGAGCTCCACAGACGCCAATCTAAGTAATAATAAATGACTTTATGTATTTTAGAAAACCACTTTACCTCAATATTTCGATGTTGATTTCGTCACAAGAGCGCCGGGGATTTGAAGAAGGGGAAAAGGGGGCGATCCTTGCTGCCGCCGAAGGGCGATATTGGATCAGGCATTGACGCAATGGGAGTCTTTGTGGATAATTAAATGTGCGTGTGGGAAAATTTTCAGTATGAGCCAATAAAATCCAATGGATAGAAATTGAAAAATTGGTCGGATTACATTTCCAATTCATGAAAATCACTGAAAATCCAACTTTGAGGGTTGCCTTTAGGTGATGAATGTGCGGGAGTGTAGGGGAAGGCGGGCGTGTTGTGGAAATGTGGATAAAGTGTCTAATTGATGCGAATCTGGCGGGAAATGCTGCGAAGGTTCTCCAATGATCTCGACAGCAGATTTATCTCTAAAGTGAAAAAGCTCCGCCTGAGCGCACACATGGCTCATCTCGGCTACTCCAAGGGGGAGATAATGTGCCCTAAAACTGCTCACTTTTCAATCACACTTCCACAATATCTGAAATTCTCAATTCTTCCTATAGGCAGTGCTTAAAACACATGTTTTCCTTATTTTATTCGTATTTCTTTGACATAACCTCAAATTCGAAAACTTAAAACTTACAGAAAAACAGAATTTATGAGATATTTGAAGATTTCAGTGGATATTTTGATGAGATTCAATTTTCTATCGCTATTTTGGATGCATTTTGGCACATAACCTCAAAATTATCCTGAAATATCTAAAAGATTTCTGTTCAGAAGCTTTTAAAGGAGAAACTGGTCGTGAAATTTGCTATTTTAGAGTAAGAAATCAATCAAACACCTTTAAAATAGACAATTTTTGGACCTGAAACAATATTTTTGAGGTTATGATCACTCTTAGTGTATTTAACACAGTTTAAAATTGAAATATTTTGATCTCTTCATCAGATTTCCTTATTTAGACTGCAGAATCAATAATTTTCTCCCTAATTCCTTCACATAACCTAGAATAAATGTGAAAAACAATCATTTTTCGTTCAATCGTTGTGAAAAAATTCAAAACTGTGTTGTGATTTGTGTGGAAATCTCCTCCTTGCCCTAGAATCCAATCGCCCTGGGTCGGGAAGGAGTTTCAAGTGCACCCCGACGCCCCATTAGGCGAGTGTGGAGCGAGATGGGAATGTTGTAACATTATTCCATTATTCCCTCGGGTGATGAATCATCGCACTTTGGCTCTTGTCGGGGCATCGATTTTTCCACACAGCATCGCATCTCCGGTTCTATTTCCAGGCTGGATTCTTTAATCTTTAATTTAATTGACTGGGAGAAATCGGGAGATTCGCTTGGAAAATTCGACACTCCGACGTCACACGCGAGGGTGAAATATTTTTAGCCCTTATTGAGATTGCGATGCGCCTTCACCTGATTCCCCCGATGCTTCTGGGCTGTGGCGATAAATTATGTTTCAAGTGCATAGGTCAGGGTTGACTTGAGCGTCGAGAGGAGGAAAAGATCAAGTGGGAGAGACGGTCTAATTGACAGGCTCCTTGTTTGAGCTCCGCACACTTCGCCCCCACCCCCGTCGGCTCACGTGGGGCTAAGCCGAAGGGGGCGGCAGGGGTGTTTGTCTGGCAAAAATTGAATTCGACGATGAGGAATAATTTGGTGAGTGCCGGACTCTTTTGCACTCCACTTTCCGGTCACTGAACTTCAATATTTGGCAAGTTGAGTAATTCAGTAAATCAACCACTGTCACTTCCTCCAAGGGGGAGATATTGCTCACACTCTCCCTCATTTCTCATCATATTAGCGAACTTGTTCAGGATTTCCTGTAATTCTTCACTTATGAACAATTTATACTCATGATTTTCTAGGTTATGTAACCAATTGAAGTCGAACTTGGTGATAAAATAGCATTCTAACGATTCTATAGCCTTAATTCTAGACTAGATCACTTTACTGAACCTTTAGAGTTGAGAAATAATGGAAATGGGCTAACATAACCTCAAAATAAAGCATTTTGGTACATTTTCTTGTAATTTTGAGATCGTAAATCAGCAATTTTGAGTCTATTAGTTCAATAAATAAAGAAAAATGTTTCTAACCTTGTTCTCAAACTGTTTTAAAAGAATTTTTTAATGATTTCTTAATGTTTTTTTTGAGGTTATGTTCATAAAGATGTTCAAAAGTGATTAAAGATTGATTATTAGTGAAATATCAAGTGGAAACTCGACAGACTCACTGATTAAGAGATGATTAAGTGTTTTGCACACAAATTGTGTCACATTATCTCCCCCTTGACTTCCTCCGAAGGTGGAAATTTGCCCCTGACATTTGAGTGCGCAGCAAAAGGATCAATAAGATGCAAGAGGAAATCACTATTTATGGCATGTGACATAAAATTAATTTGCAAGTGTTCGAGCGACTCTTCGACTTACGCTTCGGATAAGAGATTGTGTTGTGGGCATAGAATTTATACCTTGTTAAGTAGGATTAATGGATGCAATGGACCTTCAGCATTTCCATATATTGATTCAAGGGCTTCTGGTCGAATGCGAATCCACGTTGGCAAACAGGGTGTTAAATTGCATTACACTAAATATATATATGAGGTTATAATCAAACATGATTCATTGGAAAGTTGTTTTTCATCGCCAAAGCCTCTCAAGTATGAAATATTGTGTTGTGTTGCATAGTTTTGGGTGGGAAAATTAATCTTGCAAGAGCGTAGAATTTTATCCCTTTTGGCATCACATGAAAATGCATTGGGCGCTTTTTGTTGATGCAAAACCAAAGCCATACAAGTTAATTCACCATTTCTGTGTGGCTTTTTGCAAAATAGCAAACCTCATGAATATTCAAACGCATCCTATAATATTGTGGCACTCCAGCGCATATAATTTGCATGCCTTTCACCCCCCACTGTTCCTCTGTTTCTATGTCATATTCCACCCCGCGGAGCGTCAACCCCTTCCGGAAAGGGGAGCTAAATGCCAAACTGGGAGTTTTAGTAATTCGTCTCTCTTTCTCTCTGGCATTCCAGCTCAGCCAAGACGTCGGTTATGTCCTGTACTCGGCGCTCGGCTCCTTCTACATCCCCAGCTGCATCATGGTGTTCGTGTACATCAGGATCTACTATGCGGCCAAGAGGCGAGCGCGACGCGGCATCAAGAAGCCGTCGCGCAATTCTGATGAACAAGTATTTGAGGACGCGAGTCGAAGGAATGCGGCGATTAGCATTTAATTGAATCTCCTTTCTCTCTCCGCAGACGACCAACTTCATCTCTTCAGTCACTTACAACACACGTCCAATGCCAACAGTGCCTGAATGCTCTTCCCCCCATCTGATCGCCACGATCGAGTCCCACCAGCCCAGCGGGGACAAGCAGATCCCCGTGGTGACGTGCGATCTCGCCTCCGAGTCCTCCAACAAGGACACCACCAGCCTGGCGGACGCGGAGAACCAGCTGGGCGACGCGGGGGCGCTGCGAGAGCCCTCCACCATCCACCTGCAAGTTCTTCCCATGATCAGGCACACCACCAACGGCATGAGCGCCATCGCGCTGCAATCCACCGCCCCCATGCGCTGCCGCGCCTTCTCCGTCGGCATCGACTCGGACATGGTCAGCGAGTTCGATCCCTCCAGCTCGGACTCCGGCGTGGCCAGTCGCTGCTCCTCCGTGAAGCCCTCCAAGTTCCGCCTCTTCCATCCCATCTTCGGCCGTCGCTATCCGCTGCGCACGGACGTGAGCGCCGTGCAGAATGCCACGGAGCTGGAGCCCGTGATCACGAAAGGGGAGAAGAAGCGCGATCCGGAGAAGGAGAAGCGCCGCCTGGCGCGCAAGAAGGAGAAGCGCGCCACACTGATTCTCGGCCTGATCATGGGCTGCTTCATCGCCTGCTGGCTGCCCTTCTTCTTCCTCTACATCCTCATTCCCACCTGCGACAGGTGCAAGATACCAGACACCGCCTTCGCCATCGCCTTCTGGCTCGGCTACATGAACTCAGCTTTCAATCCTGTCATCTACACCATCTTCAACAAAGACTTCCGACGCGCCTTCCGCCGCATCCTCTTCAAATAGCGCTAGGCCGACCACTTCCCAATACTGTGTCTTAAGCATATACATTTGTGCATCTCCGAATTTTACCCGCGCGTTTTTTAGACGACGAACAGAAGAAGAAAAACACACCGTATTTTCGTCATTTACTTTCTTACAACGGCAGAGACTATTTGCAACATCTGCAAACGGACAGTGGGCATTTTTCTTAGTATTTTACTGACCTTCTGAAACAAGAACTTCGAATTTCACGTTCCTAGAACAATATACTAATATATATTGATGAATTGTGACACTCTGAGCTGTATTTTGAATGATAGAGCGTGACTCAAAAGTGACTCCCTGTAGATCAGTATAGTCCTTAGGTTGATCCTGAGCTGTATAAAAAGAAAAAAAAAACTACCGTGAAGTTATAATATTGTGTAACCGTACCTTAAAATGTACAAACCAATCAGATAGAGAAAATTACTGGCAATTTATGATGTGTGAAACCTCGTTGAGTATAGCTAATATCCCAAAATTTGATGTATGAAAAACACACCCTGAAAAGCTCTCACACTTTTCAAAGGGGGTCTTTTTTTGTAAAAAAAAAGAAAGAAAAAGAGGAGGAAAAACATGAACAACTGATAAGAATATGAGAGAAATTCTATCAAATAAACTCTAAACTATGAGATGAAAGGAGACTTTTTGCTATAGTTGTCCATTAAAGAGCTTTAAGCTGCGAATCAAGGGGGAGATTGAAAGGATTCACTGAATTTTCATTGATTTATATGTTTTGTGGCAAATTTAGTGAATATTTTACATTTAATTACATAAATTCTCATGCTTAAGTTGGAAAGATTGCTAAATATTGGCAAAATTAAGCATTTTTATACACTATAAATGCTTTTCGGTGACCTTATAAGACCAAGAAAAGCTGCAAAGTGTGTTAAGGACTAACATAACCTCAAAAATATAAATGTAGACAAGGAAAATGTTTATTCACATAACTTTCTGGGTGATTTTGAGTTTATTGGCAAACTTTATCAGTTAGTTTTGCTTTAGAAAGCTTCTAAATGAAGTCTTTGAACATTTATTAGTGATATTTTTAGGTTATGTTCATAATGATACTCTAAATTGTGCTAAAGTCTAACATAACCTCAAAATTAATAGTTTAAGCTTGGAAAATGATTATTTATTTAACGATCTAAACAAATTTGCGTACATTTGACAAATATTAACAACCAAAGAAGCTGTTTTAAGTGGATTCTTAGAGGAAAAAAAAGTAAAGCGTGTAAATTTAGAGCGCAATATCTCCCCCTTGGTGAGAATGTAAATTGAAGTATTGCAAAGGTGTTTATATAATCTCACATATGAGCATCTTTGGGATCTCAATTCAATTCTGGAGGAATAATGGCAAATTGAAATTAGATTTCCCCCACAAAGGTGCCTTCGAAGTCCTTTTGCTGGATCCCCAAAATTACGTCCGCATTTCAATATCTGCCATTCTCTCTAAGAGCAATTCGAGGCGAGAGAAAGTCAACAACTGTATGACAAGAAAATTAGATGTATTGAATGTGAACCTAATTGTCCTCAAACAAGGGGGTTGGGGGGGGGGGGTGGGTGGGGGTGGCTTTGTGTGACTGTCTGTTTGTCCATGGAATAGGTAAACAATTTAAATTACATTTCTGAAAATTGTATGAAGAGGTCTCTTGTGTGGGGGCCATAATGTTTGGGCGAATATTCAAAATGAAATTAGTTTCCAGTTGAAGAGCTTTTGCCAATGACGCCAATGAAATCTTGGAGGGATAGTTTTGTGTGTGTATGAAAGCCACCCCCCATATTTCGGGAGGGGTTGGCAGAAATGTCTTGATTCAATTTTAATTGTTTCGCAACAGGTAAATATGTACATGGAGAAAGTTTCTGGGCGTCAAGCTTTTCTCTTCTCACCTTTTCGTGACTCCGTTCGAAAATTTCGCCCAGGCATTTTCCTCTGGGCTGAAGAACTTTTCTTCCCATAGGGTTGAGAGAAGTGTTGAGAATTGGCGGGAAATCCGGAGTGAAATTTCCTCGCTCTGGACGTGCCGCAACTGTAACAACTCCCAGTGATCCATGACAAAGAGAGCTTTACACAAAAGCTCCATATACGCCAAATTGATCGAAAACTCTTGTATTCTTTCAAGTATATATTTGCTATTGTGTCATAAATCATAAATCAGTCATTCTCTTTTTCCATCGAATGTTTTTATTCCCTTCAAAGTGCTCCAAAGCATGATACATTTTGCCTGCTGATCTCTTTTCCTTTTTGTCCTTTCTCCAGACAAGTTTATTCACTACAACACAGCAAGTTGCAGAGGAGAATAATAAAAAGTTCGCTCCAAATACCATTTATGCTTTGGCACATTGAGAGGCAAACACAGCAGATCGTCTGTCGGAAAATGCTGATGGTTTTGCGATGGGTAAATATTTTCGAGGAAATTCTTACTGCAATAGTTGATGGCAACAGGAAATACCAAAATGCTTAATTTGCTTCCCCATCTCAAAGAAAAACACATAAACTCAGTGTGACGAATTGCAGTGAATTAGCATTTGGACTTGACTCAAGATTAGATGCCTTAAAAGTAATCCGATACTTAAAAGCTTTCTCATCCTAATGTGTGGTAATTTATTCTCACTCTCTCAGGCACAACTTTTGCATGCAAACCCAAAAGCACTTTTCACACCCACTTCTCCAGGGTGGAAAAAGGGACGAAAACTCGCGTGTGACATTTGAAAAATGATCAAGAGAGAGAGTTTTTGTAAAAATTTTAAATGTTCGCCTTTTTTTGTGTCCCTCAGCAAAATTTCGTATGAAGTCCCCAAATAAATAGACATGCTGTGCTGAGGCAGGATGCAATTGATGGTTTTGAATTCGGACGACCAAATAAATAACACAACTGACAGAAATGTATCGTAAATTACTCATCTTGTCAGTGGACTCTTTTTTTCTGCTAAAAAAAGAACTAAAAAGTCACTCAGTTATTCAGAGAATTTTTATGAATTGCATGTCATGACTCAGCGATGGAGTGCATTGATGGGAAACTATGCCGAAATTCATAAGAAGTCTGGCTGCAAGTCTTCGAGGAGCGCACAAGGAAGGAGGGATTGAAGAGGCAGTCAAGAGTTGTCCAAAAAGTTTAACACCGAAGAGAATATCGCTCGCAGACACTCCATATTCTGTTGTGTGCCGTTGGGATCATGAAGAGACGGGAAAAACTTTGAAATTGATAAACTTTGTCCAACTTTGATAATATTTGCACTGGACGATGAAGATGGCGCATTATAATGGAGGACAAGGAATGCTATATACACTGTCCATCATAATTCAAAAAAGTATTTGCAGGAATTTTATTAATTTTATAAGAATTGTTCATGGAATGTTCCAAAACTTCCGCATATAGACAGAGTCTCAATGCCTTCAACCATACAGCGAATATGAGAATGTTTATGGTAGAAAAACATCCTTTTTATACTTCCACTCAGACATTTTATTTGCAAATCAATATTTTCCCACAATAACTTATAGTTCAACCATACATGTTCACCATAAAATATCACCCTCCCAACATTGGGGCGACGATGAGCAGACAAAAAGCTTCCGTAGTTTTATTTCATATCATGACCTACAAAATCGTAAAATTCCCCCCACACTTCCGTCCTAAGACATCCACTTTTCAAATGTGGCGAGAAATATGAAGATTATTCATTTTCTCACACTCTCTCCACTTTTATTTGGGCGGCGACACAAAGGACAGCTGAGGAGTGATATTACTTTACAGCGTAATTTATGGGGAAGAATTGCATGTGATTTTGAATTGACAAGTTGATTGGATAGATTTCTTCAGCCACTGTCCGAAACTGAGACATTCAGAGTCGGAAAGATTGACATTTCGCGGCGCCGCGTGTCTTGTTTGCGCCCAAGCTGCGATATTGATTACGAATGAATGTAATATCTTGACCAAAATTAGCAAAATAATACTAAATGTGAGGTTTTATAGCTTGAATATCCTGCTACTATCAGTGTTCAGTGAAAATCACACTGAAAATGCTTCTTATTCTCTACGCGCAATTTAAATCCACTCCAGTTGATGAGCGTTCTTCTCTATGAAAGGTATGGTTTTTCCCCCCATTATTGTTTCCTTGGCACACACACCCCTAAAAAAGGGGTGGTTCGCCACATTTTGCCTCAAGTGCAAATAATTCTGAGATTTGCTACCGTAAAAATACCATGAGAAATAACAAGGGTGAGAAGTCGACATTCAGTGGACAAATGATTGCTATACATAATGAGGTGAAGATGGGGAGAACACGTAATTTCTGTTCGACCATTGAGACACGGACAGTCCTAATTGGCATCCGTTTTATTCCAGCACACACAGGACTAATCTGCGCATTCACAAGACAAAAGCCAATTTGGTAACACGATGACCAACTCATTATGCTAATAACACTGCAGAATGGCTCAAATTTCCACTATTATCGGCTTCACAATTTCTGGGAGTGCCTGAGGAGAGAGGATTTGGGATACTTTGTGTGCACATTGCATGGTCGCGGCTCGATTTTCGCGTAATTGATGAACATCGATATTTGCTTCTCATGCATTCAAACGTTTTCGTGTTCAGCAGAGCGATTCTGCATTCACGTCAATCTCTGATGAAGCCACGCATAGAAGCAATTTCAATTCTTGCTTTGGGTCTATTTATACGACTTCAATGTCTCTATTTTCCAAGCGCTTTTCGTCCTGATGGAATACTTAAGAAATTATTGATTCGCCTGCGAAGCTCTATGGTTATTGCATCAATTGCCGCATTCAATGAATAAATTAATTCGATTGAGCGGCACGAGGAGCCTTCCAGGCATTCACCAGAATTGACATTCCCGCGTCTGCCAAGGATTCGACAAAGCCAAGGGGGAGATAGTGTGCCTTCAATCTGTACACCACTTCCAAACACATACTTGAAGTTTTTAGACTGTTTCCACATTAATTCCTTAAATTATAAGGAATTTCTTAAGTTTCCATCCGATATTTCTGCGATAATCCGTTAAAAACGCTTTTTAGAACATCATTTTCGGCCATAACCTCAAAAAATAACCAAGAGATCTTGAAAAACTAACTTTGGAAAGTTTATAGATAATAAAATCATTTCATTTGTGCTGATTCAGAGTCAAAACCATGTAGAAAATTTTCTAATTGAACATTTTCCACGTCCAAATGACTAGTTTTGAGGTTATGTGCGAATTAAATACAACTTACATTGTTTCTTGCCATTAATTGGTTTTAATTCTGCCAATGACTGATGATCCCTCGGATTTGAGCATTAGAATTGATCTGATAGAATGCGAATTATTCACAAAATCTGTTCTTAATTCGTTACATAACCTAGAAAAGTATTATTACGATTGTTTTTGCGTGAAAATCGAAGGAAATCCAAAGAATCTGGATGTTTTGTCAGCAAAAGAAGTACTCAGGAAAGGAATATTGTAAGGTTTTGGTCATTTGCACTTCTTAAATACTTCCGCTGAGCTGTACACCACTTCTCACTGTATTATCTCCCCCTTGGACAAAGCCCCAAAAATTATTGACTCGTGACATCGATTCCCAATAGGTAGAGAGGGAGAGAGACTTTCGGTGGGGAACTTTTGGGGAGTTTCAGGATCAACTTTGGCCATCTTGTGTGTGTGTGGAAAATCAATTTGTTGAATATTACTTG